TGAATACTGCTTACGCCTAGGCAAGCCTTAGGTAATCACTTAAATAAAAACTGGAACTGCCTCTGTTTAATTCTAGACTGCTACAACCAGCAGGCAGGCCTGATTTGGACTTCTTTTCTGAGTTATATAATGAATATGGTTCTCACTTAAACACCCTGATTTAGGATTCTAAACTCAGACCTTAATTGTATATAAGTCGTGTTGTCTATGTGCATTGTTTACGGAGGTATAACTGAGCCTTCTATTTGCTTATATGTTTCCCCTAATTGCAGTTTTATATATTGTGTATGTCACCTTAGAATTTTACCTTTAAACCTAAGGGTCAGCCTAGAACCTCCTTCTTATAGGAATAGGAGTCCTAAAATTCCTCCGGGACTGATAGGAATGGGACGGGTAACAACATGCAATAGAGGTTGAGACCAACCCTCGCTTTAATAACTTCACAAAGTGGGGAGGGTAGATATGGATATGATGACCAGGGCGCTACCACGTGTATTCCCTCTTCTGAGGAGTGTCATACCGGGTATTGCATTGATGTGATTGTTATTGTAAACAAACCTAGGACAACCCCTTTATTTTTATAAGCACGCTTACACTATAACTCTTTCCAAAACCTTGATTTTATTAATCGTTTTTGTCAAACACTTGTGTATTCAAACTTAAATCCTCTATTACTTGAGCCTTTATTTGTTTATTTGCTAATTACACAAATTCACAAAAACTGTCTGACCGGGAACCACACTAGTGGATCCTGAGGGGTGCCAAACACCTTCCCCTTAGGATAATTTTAAGCCCTTACCCTATCTCTGATTATCAAACATAGTTGTAGTTGAACCATATGGGTGCCCTAACGCACCTTAAAATCGTTAGGTGGCGACTCTTCAAATACCCAATTCCCAAAGGAAATGAGTCATCACACCCCATGAATGTCGAAACCCGAACTCCTCTCCAATGGAAAGGGGAAAAAGGGGGCGCGACACTCGGCGGCAACGCAAGTCTATAAGACACCTCACCCACTCGATCAAGAATCTCAAACTGACCAATGAAACTAGGGCTAGGCTTGCCCTTCTTCCAAAATCTCATCCTGCCCTTCATAAGAGACACTCGAAGCAATACTCGCTCACCGACCATGAATGTCAAATCACGAACCTTGCAATCGGCATAACTCTTATGCCTGGACTGAGCTGTACTAAGTCTATCCTGAATAATCCTGACCTTGTCCAAGGCATCCTGAACCAGATCTGTACCCAACAATCGAGCCTCTCTCGGGTCAAACCATCCAACTGGAGACCGACACCGCCTACCATACAAAGCCTCATAAGGAGCCATCTGGATACTCGACTGGTAGCTGTTGTTGTAGGCAAACCTTGCTAAAGGAAAAAACTGATCCCACGAGCCTCCAAAGTCAATGATACAGGCTCGGAGCATATCCTCCAAAATCTGAATGGTCCGCTCGGACTATCCGTCCATCTCAAGATGAAACGTTGTGCTCAACTCAACCCGTGTGCCCAATTCTCGCTGAACTGCTCTCCATAAATAGGAGGTAAACTGCGTACCTTGATCCAAAATGATGGACTCGGGAACACCATGGAGACGAACAATCTCCCGGATATAGATCTCAGCTAACCTCTCGGAAGAGTAGGAGACTGCCACAGAAATGAAATGTGCTGACTTGGTCAGCCTATCAACAATAACCCACACTGCATCGAACTTCCTCTGAGTCCGTGGGAGTCCACAACGAAGTCCATAATGATGCGCTCCCACTTCCACTCAGGAATCTCAATCTTCTGGAACAAACCACTAGGTCTCTAATGCTCGTACTTAACCTGCTGACAATTCAAACACCGAGCCACATATGCAGCGATGTCCTTCTTCATTCTTCTCCACCAATAATGCTGCCGCAAATCCTGATACATCTTCACGGTGCCCAAATGAATAAAGTACCGGCAACTATAGGCCGCCTCTAAAATCAACTCTCAGGTCCATCCACATTAGGCACAAAAATTCGATCCTACAATCTCAAAACTCCATCACCACCTAAAGTAACCTGCTTAGCACCTCTGTGATGCACCGTGTCTCTAAGGACACACAAATGGGGATCATCATACTGCCGATCATGGATACGCTCCAATAAAGAGGAACAAGCGACCATGCAAGCTAACACACGACTGGGCTCAGAAACATTCAACCTCATGAACTGATTAGCCAAAGCCTAAACATCCAAAGCAAGCGGTCTCTCACCGACTGGAATATAAGCAAGACTGTTCATAATGGCTGACTTTCTACTCAAAGCATCGGCCACCACATTGGCCTTTCCGGGATGATATATGATGGTGATATCATAATCCTTTAATAGCTCCAATCACCTTCTCTGCCTCAAATTTAGCTCCTTCTGCTTGAACAAATACTGCAGACTCTTGTGATCCGTGAACACCTCACATGCCACGCCATAGAGATAATGCCTCCAAATCTTCAACGCGTGAATGATGGTTGCTAACTCCAAATCATGAACCGGATAGTTCTTCTCATGGATCTTCAATTGTCGTGAAGCATAGGCAATTACTTTGCCATCCTGCATCAACACTGCACCAAGTCCAATACGAGATGCATCACAATAAACCGTATAAGGCCCTGAACCTGTGGGCAAAACCAACACAGGTGCCGTAGTCAGAGCTGTCTTGATCTTCTAAAAGGTCGCCTCACACTCGTCCAACCATCTGAACTAGGAGCCTTTCTGGGTCAACCTGGTCATCGGGGCTGCAATAGACGAAAACCCCTCCACAAACCAACGATAGTAGCCTGCCAATCCTAAGAAACTTCGGATCTCTGTAGCTGATACTGGTCTAGGCCAGTTCTTGTCTACCTCAATCTTCTTCGGATCAACCTAAATACCCTCTACTGATACAACATAACCCATGAATGCAACTAAACTCAACCAGAACTCACACTTCGAAAACTTAGCATACAACTGACTATCCCTCAAAGTCTGAAGAACCACTCTAAAATGCTGCTCGTGCTCCTCCCAGCTACGGGAATAGATCAAAATATTATCAATGAAGACTATCACGAATGAATCCAAGTAAGGCCTGAACACTCGGTTCATCAAATCCATAAAAACGTTGGGGTATTTATCAAACCGAATGACATCACCAAGAACTTATAATGCCCGTACCGAGTACAGAAAGCTATCTTAGGGACATCGGATGCCATAATCCTCAACTGATGGTAGCTATATCCCAAGTCAATCTTCGAAAATACCTTGGCACCCTGAAACTAATCAAACAAGTCATCAATCCTCGGCAACGGATACTTATTCTTGATTGTAACCTTGTTCAACTAACGGTAATCAATACACATTCTCATCGATCTGTCCTTCTTCTTAACAAACAACACCGGCGCACCCCAAGGCGAAACCCTTGGCCTAATAAAACCCTTTTCAAGAAAGTCTTGCAATTTCTTCTTTAACTCTTTCAACTCAGACGGGGCCATACGATACGGCGGGATAGAAATGGGTTGGGTGATCGGAGCCAAATCAATGCAAAAGTCAATATCCCTGTCGGGCGGCATACCCGGCAGGTCCAAAGGAAATACCTTAGGAAACTTGCGAACAACGAGCACAGAATCAATAGAACGGACCTCAGCACTAGAATCACGAACATATGCCAAATAAGACAAACACCCCTTCTCGGCTAGTAGTCCCTCTCCACTCTAAATGAGGTAAACCCGGCAAGGCTAAGGTCACAGTCTTAGCATGATAGTCTAAGATAGTGTGATAAGGTGATAACCAATATATCCCCAATATGACATCGAAATCAACCATGTCCAGAAGAAGCAAATCTACACGAGTCTAAAGACCCCCAATCACAACTATACATGAACGATGGACTCGATCTACCACAATAGAATCACCCATCGGTGTAAACACATAAACAGAAGCACTCAAAGAATCACTAGGCATGACCAGATATGGCGCAAAATAAGATGACACATAAGAGTATGTAGATCCTGGATCAAATAAAATCAAAACATCTATACTACAAACCGGAACAGTACCTGTACCTCCACCTCTAATACCTCTATCTCCACCTCTAGCACCTATACCTCCACCTCTAATACCTCTACCTCCACCTCTAACTAACTGAGTGGGCTGAATGAGTCCTTAAATGAACATCCTCACTCTCTCTCTAAATGGGAGTATAAGAAGAGCATGACGGGTCAAATCATTAAACCTAGTATCGTACTGAGTAACAGTCATAGAACTCTGTTGGAGATGCTCAAACTGCCTCGGGTAGATCTCTCTCTGAGTGACAGGACGAAACTTCTCCAGAAATAGCTGAGAAAACTAATCCCAAGCCAAAGCTGATGACCTAACTAGCCAAACAATAATCTCTCTAACAAGTCTTGGCAGATCCAGACGAGCGAAAAGTAGCAAAATTGACCCCATTGATCTCCACTATCCCCATGTTCCTGAGAACCTCATGACAGCTGTCCAGATAATCCTAGGGATCCTCAGAAGATGCACCGCTGAAAGTAGTAGTGAAGAGTTAGGCAAAGCCTATCCAACCTCCGCAAAGCCTCCGAAGATATAGCTGATCTAACACCGGTCTGTGTTGTTGTTTGGCGGAAGAAGCGGTACGTGACCTCGCCATTCACGAAAGGACAGGAGTAGATGTTTCAATTTAGCATTGAGAGGACAAAATCGCACGACAGGAAAAAATAGATGTGAAGTTTTTCCTAACTCTGTAGCCTTTGGGGGATAAATACAGACGTCTCTGTATCGATCTCTTAGACTCTACTAAGCTTGTTTGTGAACTGTAAGACCTATTTAACCTAGAGCTCTGATATCAACTTGTCACGACCCGAATTTCCCACCCTCGGGAGTCGTGATGCTGCCTACTAATGTGAGCTAGGCAAGCCGATTGTTTGAACACATTTCCTTTTTCCAATTTATATTCCTTAACAATTATAAAGCAATAAAGTGTAAATAGCGGAAATTACAATAAGTGGAAGAAAGCAATAAATTATCTGAATATGTGTCTAATACAACTGTTTGAGCATCGACTACCCAGAACTAGTGTCACAGTTTGACATACGGTCTAAGAGTACTACACATACAGGTTGAAAGAAATAAATACAACATTGTCTCTGGAAATACATGAAAGAAACATGAATAGTACATAGAATGAGACGTCAAGGCCTGAGAACGCCTGTAGGACTACCTCGGGTCGCTTGATGAACCAGAATCAGCAATCTTACTACGGTCCGAAGTCTACAACATTTGGGTCTGGACAAAAGAGTGTAGAGTGTAGTATCAGCATAACCGACCCCATGTGCTGGTAAGTGCCTAGATTAACCTCGGCGAAGTAGTGATGAGGCTAGGACCAGACTACCAAATAAACTGTGCAATTTAACTATATACAGTGAAAAAGAAGAACAGTAATATATAGTCAAGTATGGGAGGGGGAAACATGTTGCGGGGAAACACCGAATAATAACAGAAGAATAACAAATAATTATGAGGATCACCATAGTTCAATCGAAAATAGGAAGGGGAAATCATGTTGCGGGGTACAACAAGTATCAATTAGAAACCAGCAATTAAATGTAGAGAAATCGTAACTCAATTATTAATAAAAATCAGGAAATCAAAGACAAGTTCACGGCATCACCCTTCGTGCTTTAACACTCTCTCACCAAAACAATACACGGCATCACCCTTTGTGCTTTAACACTCCCTCACCAAAACAATACATGGCATCACCCTTCGTGTTTTACACTCTTCCTCACCCAAGTAACAAATCACAAGGCAAATGGGGTAAGGGAATCTATAACATCGAAATAAAATCAAGTAACAATAGAAAAATCACTAAGTAAACGTAAAGGACAACACAACTCAATTATCAGCAAGAAACAGGAAAATCAAGGACAAGTGCATGGCATCACCCTTCGTGCTTTTAATCTCGTCCTCACCATAAGAATCAACATAAACTGCACGGCATCACCCTTCGTGCTTTTACTCTCATCCTCACCATAAAATCAATATGATTGGCATAGAATGGTACATCGTGTGGCACGGCATCACCCTTCGTGCTTTACACTCTTTCGTCACAAATCATGCACGGCATCACCCTTCGTGCTTTAACACTCTTCCTCACCCAAATAACAATCACAAACAATAGGGAAATGGAATAAATGAAACTACAGTAAGAATCCCGGCAAGGGAACAATAGTTCAACAATCAAGTCCCGACAAGGGAACAACATCAAAGAAGCATCAACATCCTAGCTAGGGAGATAACATCAAAACAATAAATTCTCGGCAAGGGAGATAATATAATGATTCTCTTCTCTTTTTCACTTTTACTTCACAACTCACTTCACAACCTTGAGTCAATGCTCTAAAAGTTTCAATTTCCACTTATACTTTCACATTTCATTGTACAACTTGAGCCAACGCTCCTCAATGTTCAAATGTCACCACTACTTCCACAAACTTTGCACAACAATAGAAATCATCATTAAAGCATGAATAATACAACAAAGCCATAATAATCACAAAATAAGACTGACGAGCATACTTGACACCAACGTATAGATACTCGTCACCATGCCTATACGTCGTACTCGACAAATACCACATAGCAAATAGGACTCGACTCTTAATCACTCAAGCTAAGGTTAGACCAAACACTTACCTCGATGCCACGAACACAATTCACGTCTCAACTATAGCTTTACCTCTTGATTCCACCACCAGTTCGCTCGTATCTAGCCACAAGTTACTTAATTAAATCAATAAATGCTAAATGAATCAACTCCAATGCATGAAAATGAGTTTTCCAAAGTTTTACCCAAAAAGGCAAAAATCTCCCCCGGGCCCACAGGGTCAAAACCCGAGGTTCGAACCAAAACCCAATTACCTATTCCCCCACGAACTCAAATATATAATTTATTTTGAAATCGGACCTCAAATCGAGGTCCAAATCCCCAATTTTTGAAAAACCTAGGTTCTACCCAAAACACTCAATTTCCTCCATGAAAATCATTGATTTTGAGTTGAAATCATGTGAAAAGATGTTAATAATTGAAGGAAATGAGTTAAAATTGACTTACAATCGATTTGGAAGAAGAGTTGTCTTTGAAAAATCGCCCAAGAGATTTTTGGTTTTGAAAGAGTGTGAAAAATGGGAGATTTTCGGCTAAGTATAAAAATTGCAGGTTGCAGATATGGGAATTGCGACCAGGGTTCGCAATTGTGAACCCTGACCTCTGATATACACGCATTCGCGAAGGGGTTCTCGCATTTGCGAGTGAGAAATGCGAAGGATATGTCGCATTTGCGATGACTGGCTAAAAGGGGAAGTATCGCATTTGCGATAGAATCCTCACAATTGCGAGGTAGGCTGGCCTAGGCTTCTTTCACATTTACGACATACCTCTCGCATTTACAATCTTGCATTTGTGAGCCAAGCTTTGCAAATGCGAAGCCTGCAGGCCTGCAATGCAACAACTGAAAGTCTGCAATTCACCAAGTCCAAAATCCACCCCGTGGCCTATCCAAAACTCACCCGAGCCCTTCGAGTTCCAAACCAAACATGCACACCCATCTAAAAATATCATACAGACTCGCTCGTGCATTCAAATCACTAAAACAACATAAACAACTATGAATTTAGCATCAAAATCATGAAATCTTCTTAAGAACTTTAAATTTCCAATTTTCTAAAAAATGATCCGATTCACGTCGTTTCAAGTCTGTTTCTTACAAAATTTCACAAACTTATCTTACATAACATATAAGACCTGTACCGGGCACCAAAATCAAAATACGGGCCCAATACCATCAAGTTTTAATCACAATTCATTTCCAAATCTCATAAATAATTTCAGAAAATAATTTTCTTTGAAAATTCATTTCCCGGGCTTGAGACCTCGGAATTCGATTCCGGGCATACACCCAAGTCCCATATTTTTCTACGAACCTTACGGGACCGTCCAATCATGGGTCCGAGTCCGTTTACCCAAAAGGTTGACCGAAGTCAACTTAAACTCATTTTAAATGCAAAATTCATCATTTTTCATAGATTTTTACAAATGGCTTTCCGGCTACGTGCTCGAACAGCGAACGCAAATTGAGGTGATGTCGAAAGAGGTTTTTAAGGCCTCGGAATGCAGAATTTACTTTTAAAACAAGTGATGACCTTTTGGATTATCGCAAAGTCACTACAGCTCATTTTCAACTTGCTACATGCAAATCCTTAAACTTACACAAGAAATGCATTCGAATTTTACAACAAACACTACACTAAGTGAATTAATACATTATGCAGTTGAGTCCAGCCCTTTTTTCTTCTTCATGTTTTGAAAATTTCAAGTGCATGTGAATCTATACATCAAATCATGAGATGGACACCTCTTCTGGCTTCGTTTCAACTACAAACACTCGATCTAAACTGACGAAAATAACTATATTTTAAACTGCAGAACAAGTAACAAATCTACTCATGAATAGCACGAATAACTATAGAAACATGCTAGTTTTACACATTGAAAGAGGGAGAGAGCATTCCAAATTCACTCAAACTCGCTAAACCATCATTGAAAAGCAGTTATCGACACAACTGAATGATTAACTATTACGAGAAGCATTCATCTATACCACAAACATTCATATGATAACAGGAACTTCATAATATTATAGCATTTAACAGTCATTTCATTTTTCGAAGCATAAATTGATACCTGGAAAAACAGCAGTGACAAACAAGAAAATAAGAATCTAAATTTGACAAGCACAACTAGAAATGGGATGAGCTTGACAGAAACAGCAGCAAACAAACAGAGAAGGTAGCTCAACCAGATTTGAACTCAGAACTTGGAAAACGACTGTGAGATAATGAAACAAACTAGGAAGCCTTTAGTTTTTTTGTTTCTGAAATCCCAGAGTTGGTTTTTCAGAAGTTTTCTTTTATAAAAAAAAATGAAGAACAGTGAACTCTCATAAATCAGTGTAAAATCAGTAAAAAATTTGAACTTTAGAGAGTTTTCGTGTGTAAAAATCTGTCTATCCCCTAAAATAAGTGTGTGAGTGAGACTTATATAGAGTGAGAGTGTGCTAAGGGATAAGGGAAGGTACAACCCCTAAAAATAAGGAAAATAGCATCTTTCTTTAACCAATTTGTGTACAGTTGTCCCTTTTTATCAGATATTATCGATATCAGCATCTTTTCTTAACCAATTGGGATAGTTGTCCCTATTCTAGAAACTTTTTTTATTCTTATCTGAAATTCCCCCCTAATCTTATTTTTCAATTGGCCCCCTTAAGTTCTATTTGTTACCCTTCTCACCCCCAAACCTTTTTTTGCATTGAACTTAAAGCCCCACAATTTTATAAACCAAACCTACTAAAAAGCAAAACTCTGTGGCAGATGAAATGATTAGAATGTGGAATCAAAACCTATACCATTAACTATGTATGGGACTAATCCATAACAAACAGAATTAATAACCATCCCTTAATCATGCTAATTAATTGTCTTTAAACACATAGTTAGGTAATTAACTAAATAGGAATGCAAAACTATAAAGAACTATACTATTCTGATTAATCTTAAATCAAACAAAACAGAGATACTAAAAAAACAAGGTTCAGAACAGACAAAAATAGAAAGAAAACAGAAAGAAATAAAAAATAAGAAATAAAAATAAAAACAAAACAAAGTGAAGGCATGATAGATTGATACTATTGAAAATGAACTAATTTGGAAAATTACATACAAATTAACCTACACTACTAACATATTAACAGAGGGAAGAGATACCTAAGTGCTCCAATGGATTGTGAGAAGAAAAAGGATTTCCGGCAAGACGGAGAAATTGCCACACACACACACTGGCCGGATTTCTCCATACGAGACAGTGCTGGTATGCAACAAATATCTCTTGCTGGCCCGATAAAGAAGCGAGGCAAGGTGGGGATGAACTACGCAATCCAGAGGAGCTTGACCAAGGTTTTGTGGCAATGAAATCAACAAAATCGTGCAATTGTCAATAGAAGTCGACTGATGTAGGTTTCGATCCCAAATGAGCCAAAATAAGGACAAATCAAACAAAAGGAAAACTTTAGGGTTTTTACGATTTCTAAATTTGGAATTCATGGAGTTTAGGCAATTTTTTTGGGAAAATTATTGAGGGATTTGACTGAGGGGAGGATGGAGGCTGTAGGGTATTAGTTTGGGGTTATCTGGTGATGTGCCACCGCCGTGGGCGATTTTCGGCGGTGGTTTAAGGCTAAGGGTGAGAGAGGGAGTCGAAGGAATCTGGGCTGGTCTTTAGGGTTTGGGGGTAGCTGGATTCGGACACTAATAAGGGATGGAATGGTTAGTTCTCAGCCGTTAGATCATAATTGATCAACGGCTGGGGTCGCTTGAGTGTACTGGTGGGGCTGGACCAGGTAGGAGGTTGGGTTGGGGCAATCTTTGGTGATTTGGGCTATTAAAATTATTTTTTAGACTCAGACTCTATTGAAGACCTTAATTCCTTTCCTTTTTTTTTCTTTTCTTTTTCCTTACTTTAAATCATACTCAAATTAATAAGACCTAAATTAAATTCTAATTTATATCTAATTTTTAGAATTTAATTTAATATTCTATTTCTACATTAAAATAATTAATTAACTTAAACTGATGAAAGGAAAGTACTAATTTTAAAACTAAAAGTTAAATATGTAAAAATAACTATTATTTTGTGATTTTTATTTGATAATGCAATTAACTCATGTAATTAAATCCTAAATGCAATTAAGACCTAAAATGCTATGCATGAAATATTTTAGACATTTTTGGTATTTTTCTCATGATTTTAAAACGTTAAATATGCAACTAAATGCAAACAACAATTAACAAAAAAATTCCTAAAAATTCTACAGAAATTAAAAATAATTAGAAAATCCTATTTTTGTGAATTTGTAGGAGTATTTTTAGTCGGGCAAAAATCACGTTCTTACACTAAGTTGTCTAGGGTTTGGTATTTGTTAGTTTATTTAATTCATGTCTAATTAGGATTCATAGTCGAAATCATATGGGAATAGGTTTTCTAGATTCTAGTCAAATTTGGTTTATAATATTATAAATAGGGGTGCTACTATATATTTTCAATTGTAGAGAGGTAACTATGATGTAGAGAGATTCAAGAGTTTATGAGTTGTGAAAAAGGCTCCTACCACATTTCTATTCCTAATTTAATAAATTTCTTCTATATAGTCTTTATTAAATTTTTTACTTGTGCCTAAATTCTTTTTCGGGTTCATTCAATCATTTAAACCTTGATCTGTCTATAGTCCAAGCTAGCTCAAGCAAATACGCGTGATTTGTCCTTATTACTCTTTATTTTATTTTATTTCTAATCTTTATTCGTTTTGTATTCTATTATCATGTTCGATCTAATGTTTTATGATGTCAAATATCTAACCAATACATCACCAGATGAGGAGTACTGATACAGGGATCACGTCGAACATAACGGTGAAAGACACCAAGAGGATCTTGGCAATCACTCAAGTGGAAATACAGTGCGAAGGCTTGATGATCCGCGCAACAACTGTAATCTGAGCATCTCATTAGGAGCATTAATCTGGCTTATACTACACTACCTATTCAAAAAAATTGCTTAACTAATCAAATGAAATTCACTATATACAGTGAGATATTTTCATAAAATTGCTCACTATATGAGGATGTTGAGGTGGATGTGCGGGCACACTATAATGGATAAGATTAGGAATGATGAATTAATGATATTCAGGAGAAGATGCATGTGGCTCCCATTGATGACAAGATTGGGGAAGCGAGACTCAGATGGTTCGGACATGTTCAGAGGAGAAGCCCAGATGCGCTGGTAAGGAGATATGAGCAGTTGGTTGTGGAGGGTAAGAGAAGAGGTAGAGGGCAGCCTAAGAAGTATTGGGGAGAGGTGATCAGGCAGGATATGGCGAGGCTTCAGATTTCCAAGGATATGACACTAGATAGGGAGATGTGGAGGTCGAGTATTAGGGTTGTAGGTTAGGAGGTAGTTTGAGTCTTTCCTTACTTTGTACCATTGTGAGACCAGTCTGATAAGGTTTTTGTCTAAGATAGTTAGTGGCAATGTTGTGTCTTAGTATTTCACTTTTCAGCGTAGGAACTATTTACTAGCTATCGTTTTTGCTTTGCATCTTTCTTCTGAATTTCATTTTCCTGTTTTTCACATGATTTCTTTTCTGATACTAATATTGTCTCATTTTTGTCTTTTGTTTTCTTGAGCTGAGGGTCTTTCGAAAATAGCCTCTCTACTCTTTCGGAGTAGGAGTAAGGTCTGTGTACACACTACACTCCCCAAACCCCAGTAATGAAATTTTACTGGGTTGTTATTGTTGTTGCTCACTATATAGTAATATGGCAGCCCTGTAAAATGCAGAGATGCATTTATAATTTAGTGCCTCAATTCATTTCCCCCAACAAAGCCTGAAACTTGATTAAGTATTAAGAAGGTCAAGAAAATTAATAGGGCACAAACATCGAAATTTAAGCGCTTAAAAAGGTTTTCCAATAACCTTTTTAAGATTTTTCGAAGGAATAGAAGATGATTATGGGATAATTGATCAACCTCACTCTCCGCCATTGTTGAGCTTCAATTTTCAGGAACGAGCTTCAGATCTACACGATTACAACAATTGTCGCTCTGATACTATGTCAATTTACAAGATTCAAGAGGTGAAGACCGCCAATTCTCAGTAAATTGTATGTGATTTGTAGAGAGAGAGAGAGTTAGAGAGAAGGAAGAGGGAAACTCGTATTTTTCATTTTTAGCTAACACTGTCAGAGCATTAACTGCTCATTTTAACAAACTAACTTCTCACTTTCTCCTATACTATAATTTCATCCTCTAAGTCTCACTAATTACATATAGGTCCCTATCTTCTTAGTAGGGTCTTTTATCACAAAAGCCTAAAACTTGATTAAGTATTAAGAAGGCCAAGAAAATTAATAAATTGAAATTTAAGCACTTAAAAAGGTTTTCCAATAACCCTCATATATAGTCTTCACCAAATCCAGTATATATAACAGTCATAAAATAGAGACGGCTCTGTGCCTGCTCGATCTATTACTTCCTTTAAGGTTATTGCAAGGACTTAATGCCACAAGAGGCGGAGCCAGATATGAATTTAAGATTCTAGTTTGTTTAAGTTACTGCGTTCTAAATAATGAATTTCTTAAAACAAATACAAAATTTGGACCAAATTTACCTATTCGATTAATTTGATAAGTAGGTCACCAAATACTGATCACTATGTTTCTGTAGTGTTAACATCAGATTTCTCCATGTTAACGTGCATCAGATTTCTCCTTCACCTACCTTAATGAGGATTTCGCTTTTATCTTTATTTCCTTATTGAGACTAAATTGAGGTTGTCTTTCAGTTACTTGTTCGATCATGTTCACTATCAGTTGGTGAGGATCATGTTTATCGATTGGACTTTTTTAGTAAGCAAATAAAAAAGCGAAAAATTAAATAATATTATGAATAGAATTCTATTTAGAGTGAATGTCTATCTTGTAGAGAGTTTTACTTTGTGGCTAAGTCATTTTTTCCCTATAAATAGAAGGGTCTTACCCCATTGTAAATCATCCCAAAATTCAACAAGAATTTTCTCTCTCTTTCTCTGCAATATTGTTCTTCTACTTTTATTGTTTTATAACACGTTATCAGCACGAGACTCTACCGTCTCAAGAAGATTAAGGTACAACTTTTCTCCTCTTTTAATTATGACTGATATTATGAAAAAAAAGTTCGTTGCCCTTGAAATTTCTAGCAAGAACTATATGACATGGGTGTTGGATGCTGAAATCCATTTAGATGCAATGGGTCTTGGAGACGTCATTAAAGACAAAACTAAAGCATCCACCCAAGACTGTGCTAAGGCCTTGATTTTCTTGCGTCATCACCTTGATGAAGGGTTGAAAATAGAATATCTCATAGTCAAAGATCCACTTGTTTTGTGGAATGGCTTAAAGGAAAGATATGACAACTTAAAGTTGGTCACTCTTCCACAAGCACGATATGATTGGGCTCATCTGAGGCTCCAAGACTTTAAGTCTGTTTCTGAATATAATTCTGCAATGTTCAGAATTACTTCTAAATTGAAACTCTGTGGAGATACTATCACTGATTATGATATGCTTGAAAAAACGTTCACAACGTTTCATGCCTTCAATATGGTCTTGCAACAGCAATACAGAGAGAAAGGTTTCAAGAAGTACTCTGAGTTGATTTCTCTTCTCCTTGTGGCTGAGCGAAATAACGACTTGCTCATGAGAAATCACGAAAATCGACCCACTGGTTCTACACCATTGCCTGAAGTGGATGAGGTGTATTCCCATTATGCTAAGCGTGGAAAAGGTCGTGACTCTATTCGTGGTCATGATCGTGGTCGTGGTCGTGGCCGTGGTCGTAGACAAGGAAGATTTTTTCCTGGTGTTAATCACCCCCCAAAGAAAAATAATCACCAAAAGTGGAAAGGAAAAGATGAGAAGCCAAAGGCAAATAGTTCAGAAACTGAATGTTATCGTTGCGGTGGAAAAGGGCATTGGGCAAATATTTGTCGTGTACCAAGACATTTGGTTGAGCTTTATCAAGCATCTCTAAAGAATAAAGGCCCTGAAGCCAATTTTGTCTCTAACAATGATTTTGACATCGCTCACTTGGATGCGGCAGATTTCTTTGAGCACCCTGATGGAAAAATAGACCACTTGATCGGTGATGGATCTTTGGTTAAAGAAGATTGAGTAGTTGATTTTATTTTTATTTTGCTTATTTGTATTAGTTAGTGAATAGACATCATGTAATGATAATTCTTTACATGAGTAGTAGTCATTAGTATCAATTCATATTTTTTATTTTATGGAATAGTGTTAGTATTCATTTTAAACAATGTTTCAATTTTCTTAACTTTCAAAGATTAATATATTTTTTTTTATTAAAGTAACGTTATGATTTGCAAATAACCAAGAGGTTATGTGAAGGCTACTTAAATTTTTTTTTCAAGGAAATTCAAATCTTTATTTTTTTCGCAACTGACATGCTAAGTTGCTAATTGTACGGAAAAATTTCAGCATCACACAAAAGGCACATGTTCATGTGAACCATTACAGTTTCTTTCCTAAACAAAACTTGGTTATGTCACAAACACCAATACGGATTTTCGCTCAATCAATTAATCATAATTCATTCCTAAATTAGCGTATGCCAGTTTGATTAAATCTGACACATTAATTGAACAAGTCAATGAGTATATTTTTTGATCCAATTTCGTCTGCAT